TAAGATTGGTTTGAAGCCATTATGTAAGAATGTTTATTTGTTATACTGAGGCCAGATCAGATCTACGTCCCACATGGTGACTTTACCACAGTTTTTGAGGGTTTTCCAAAGCCCTGCACTTAGATTTAGACTGCCCTACAATTAGATGGGGTCTCAGCATTATTTCTCAGTCTAGAAGATAATTTCTAATTCTTATGATTTTCAGAGATAACATTAAAAATGGTAGTTCCATGGACTCAGCTCGAAAGGCGAGTAGAAATTTCCTATAAGCACATAAAACCCCCCCACAACCCTCATTGATTCTGGTAGCAGGATCTTTTTAAAAAAGTACATGGATACTCAGTAAATACAGACAGAATCTGCTCTACTAAAGCACATCTGAGAAACTTTCTACATGTGAGATGGCCAGATTTTAATCCCCAAGAGCTATTTCTCTTCCCTTGTACCTGTTCAGTAGCTAGATCAACAACAGAAAGCCTGTACAGGAATTTTTACATTCTCAAGGGTAAAGGCGGGTTTGGATACATGGATAATATAACAGTCCTGATTATCCAACTACCACTAGATATCCAGAAAAGCACAATCTGGAAACTCGGCCATCCAACAAAGAAGTCCATGTGGGCCCTTCAGGACTTGTTAGCACTTTGGTGTCTCTGTACCATGATTCCTCCAGAACTCCAGATTCAGGAGGTCTTCTTAACCATCGACATCAACTACTCTGCATAAAGCAAGTTCAGATCTGGATTTCCAGCCAAGCTAATAAAATCTACTGGAATGTGGAGCACAGAAACACCCAAGCGGGTCTACATAGAGCCAGCTTGGTCTACCAGGACTTATTAGTTCAGACACTGCCTGAAAGCAGCTGCACTAAAAAGCTGATTCTGGAAATAGCAGAGATGTGTTAACATGGCACAGCACTTGAACTAATAAACTGTTAGTTCTGAGTATGCCCCAGGCTAAATCTGGTGCCTGTAAATCCATTCCGTAGCTAATCTGCAACTGGAGAAACTGTCCAAAGAGTTTACTCTATTTCAAGCCTAACATGCACAGCTCTACCCTCACCATCATGTCCAAGTTTCTGTCCTCATCACCTCCCTCCATATAACCAATCCCCGTATCTATCCTCTTCCTGTTTGTTCATCATTTACTCTCTTCACATCCGTTTCTCAACTTTCCTTTAAATGTCCATAAGGCTGCACAGTGTATATCAGTGGCTTCCAGCCATTCTGGAGTAATGAACATGGTTACCACCTTCTTCTCATCTTACCTTCTCAACCACACGAACACTTACTAACACTTCTCCCCTGACTTCTGGCTTTGTCCAGCCTTTCGTGGTTCAATCCCTAGCAAAGCAACCATTATGCTTATAAAAACAAAAGAAAAATATGATTATATTGGCATATCAAATTGTCCTGTCTCTATGGAAAAAAAAGTATCAGCAGAAACATCATCACAAGAGGTCTCACCAGGCTAAGGGCCGGCTACTACTTCTAAAGGTAAAATTTGCTATCTCACCTAGAAGTTGCTTGCCAGTCAGCCCAGATATGATCTGAGGCTCACCTTTTCACTTCCTATTTCTCTTCTGTGATTCTCTCATGCCAAACAGCCTGAGTGTCTTGGTGTGGCAAAGAGCTGGTGAGGGCAAAGACTGTCATTATTAGCCTGCTGATAAGAACAGTGAACAAGGAAAGAATGCCGTAGGAAAGAATGAAGTTAGGCAAAGACTGATTGAAATGGAGCACAGAGAGACTGGCCTGCTGATGGAGCATCAGCTCTGTCTTTCAGCTCAGTCAGCTCTGCTTCCCCTCCCCACCCTCACCCACCTCTACAATCCATGCAAAGCAACTGTTGAGCACATGGTTTGTAGCTCTGTCCTGCCATGTGCAGGCATGAGATGGACACTAATGATCAAAGTTTTACAGTACTGGAAATATGACAGTTAATCACCTGCTATAGAAAGTGACAGTCTGACCCTCCAGAACAGCTCAAGAGGGCTGACATAACACATATTACTGGAAAAACAACCACTCTGACTGCATTTATTCCTCTAGCCAGAATCACGACTAACAAAGAATATGGGCAGTTTCTACCTGACAGAGGAGATTCCTTGCTTCTGTTTCCAGAATACCAAAGTTCAATATAAAAATTACAAAATCAGAAGCAAAACTGAAATTTATCTCCTCAGTCATTATATATGCTCTGAACAGCACAGCAGCAATTTACTGTCTATGCAATATGTGTGCAGATGTGTACTGAAACAAGGAAATTAGCAATAGTTTTATAACTTTCAATACTAAAGCAGAAAAGCATAGTCTGCTCACTTCCTATGGCAATTAGGAAATTAAATCTTCCTGTTTTTTAGCTGCCGTGTTCCAGATACGAATCCTAGGCTGTCAGTTGCTGAAGTCTAAATAAGAAAGTCTTTCCTTGTCTTACATGTGCTTTTCACAGCTAAATGTTTCTACATGTCACACAAACATTAAACCCACGGTCAGATGGATTCTCAAGACAATGCAATAACTAAGAAATCAGAGCAACAAATGCACTGTCATTCAGAACTCCAGCTGTATCTTTGTCTTGTTATAGGCAGATGTTGTTGAACCTCTAGAAGTCTGAATGATTAACAAATACTGATACTTAAGAAAGCAATTTTCAGTTCCAGTTGTTTCACTTCCATACTTCTTACAGATCTCAATCTTTTTTAGCCAATGGTATCTAGTCTCTTTGTAGAACTAGTCACCATGTTCAACCATACAGGAACTTTTAAGATGTCACAATCAAAGCAGGATGAACAGCATATATCCAAGTGGAGATGTTATTAGATTGTATTCATTATCAACCTTACACACTGTTCTAGGAGATAGACTATGCAGGTGACCAATTCAAACTAACTTAAGCACTTGAAATTCGGATCTTAGAAAGTATCTTTATTTCAAGAAAAGTTTTGGAGCTTCTTACACAGAATGAAATCACACCCTGCTCCTTCCTTCCACTCTGCATAGGATAATGGCTGCAGATACAAGAACAGGCTATTTACAAGAAGAAGGTACTGGTGGACTTAGTAACAAACTGCATTAAGCTCACATCCAGAAACAGATCCTGGACTTATTTAAAACAGGTTTTTTTATATATGTTATGTAGCATAACGCCATGCAGGTATTATGAAGATTGTCATACACACTGAATTTTACAGTCAAAGAAAAGGCATTTTCATTATAAATCCAACTGCATCCATCTTCATTCCTAAAAGTAGTCAGGTCTTCCTACTACATATTCTGCTAAATGACCAAACGAAAAATTTCTGAGATACACTCAACAAAGCAGTTAAGAAATGCAAAACTTTGAAAAGTGATACATTAACTTTAAAAACCTCTTTTCTGAAAATAATGTTAAAACCAAACTAAAATCATCAAATATTTCATTTCAGCAGTCCTATCCATATGACTGGTAAATCTCATCAACTGTGGAGTTCTGAATTTATCAGCCACAGACTTTTTAAAAAATCACTATGTGCTTTGAGGTTCAACTAAGGCTTAATAAACTTTCTTACAGGTCTGGAGTACTATATAAATTTTGTCAGAGCTGTGCTGGCATAATTAGTAATACAAACTGTCTGGTTTCATGAAAGTTACAAGCTCTGGCTCCAATCCTGCAAACACTTACTGAAGAATTTAAGTCACTGCACAGAACTGACTACTCATGCATAAGCTAAGCATATTTGTAAATATTTGCACAGTATGGACATCTGTTGGCATAGCCAGTCATCTGATACAAGATTCAGCTTTAAATCCTAGTCTGCATAGAGTCAATATTAAAAAAAGGAATTCCTCACTTTATAAATCTCTTAAGCATCAAGTATGTCAGATACCAAAGGGTGGAGCTGAAAAGCTAAAACCAGAGGAAGAGACGAATCAGTGAAATCATGACAACTGGTTCTGTTTCTCATTTAACTAGAGAAGACTGGTTTCTTAGGGATGCATGTCTCAAGATTGAGCTCCTGCCTTATTTTCAGCCTTTGCTGAACTAAGCTTTTGCTATACACTTCCTTCAGTGGTGCCATTGATAACATTTCTCACACGATCACAGGAAAAGCTCATAAAATTACTCCAAAGAGCTTCTCCTTTTCATCATGTTTGGTTATTAACACTTGTAAGTTTTGGGTGGCCTAAGAAATAGCCACAGTACAAAGCTGGGCCACAGATAATTGTGGAAGTTGCATTTCCTTAGAAAACCAAACGAAGAAAGGTAATCACTATCTCCTTCCTCCTAGTGTCTTGGAGTTTGAGCATATCCTGTTTCACTCATCTTCAGTAACAGCAAAACATTTTCTGCTCTGTGAGTTTAAAACCTGATACTAGGCAGAAACACATGTAAAGGAGCAAAGGTATCCTCCCATTTATTCGTGGCAGAAACAAAACCTAGTGTTTAAGGCCTTGTGTGTATTACACCTGCGGAGCTGCCACGTGCAGCTCTGTTTCTTCAGCCTAGAGGGCAAGAGCTGAGATCTCACTCTAGCTTAGCATTTAAGTTTCTTTTACAGCTGTAGCTTGGGGCACTAAACCGTCTCCTTCAAAAGATGCAGGAATGTACTAAGGGGATGGAGGCAAGGTGGGCCGGCAGCTCCAGGGAGGGGACAGCGAGGCTCCACCAGGGACCTAAGAGCTCTCTCCTCCAACTCTGTTCCCAGGGCTCACACACAGCGCCGTCTGGAACGCAGGAGCGACCGGCCCTTCGGAAAAACCGAATGGCACACGCAAATTAAACAGGGTCCCCGGGGAGGAGAGGGCGGGTGCTCCGCGGGGCCCGGTGTCAAAGCCGTGTGAAGCCACACCCGGGCCGGGGCTGGCCGCACGCAGCAGCCCGCAGACCTGCCCCAGCCCTCGGCCGAGGGCACCCGCCTCCTGCCCGAGCGACGCCACCGCCCGAGCCGGCGGGCGGCGGTCGAGAGGCCGGCGCTGCGGCAGAGCCTGTCCCACCTCGGAGCGAAGCCGCTGGGTTACCTGGTGCAATGAGCACCCACTGCCCGGGGTGCTCCGCGCCCTGCATGCTCCCTGCGCCCCGCGCTCCCGCCGGAACATGGCGGGAGGGGCGGGGCGGGGCGGGCGGCAGCACCGCACCGGGATGGCCGGGGCTGCGCTGCCGCTTCGCCGCTTCCCCCTTCCCCCGGCACACGCAGGGAATTGGTACGACCCAGTGCGGGCGGGACCGCGGGCCGTAAAGCCGCTTCTGTGCCCCGCCCCGCCAGTGGGGCTGATGGGCGGGAGATGGGCGGGTGTGACGTCTCACCCTGAAGGGGAAGGGAGGAGCGGGGTTTCTGTAAATGGCTGTGGCCGAAAGGAAGGGACGAGGTCAGAGAGTCCGCAATCGGTCAGAAAGTTTTATTAGTAAATTACACACTGGGCATGGAAATTGGTGTGTTGGTCGCTGACCTGGTATATAAGCACGGCAGGGGGTTTTGGATTAAGGGGTAGGATGAAAGGGATGAGAGAAAGGAAGAGATTAATTGAAGAGGGGGAGACAGAAAGAAAGAGAGGGAAAAAGATCGCCAGTCCTTTTTCCAGCATCGATCCACCTGATGAGATGTCAACACTGATTCTAACGCTGATGGGATGTCCAGGATCCTGGGGGCTGCCGCCCGGGCTTCGGGGGGAGGTACCTTCTTATGAATAGGTTTCCCCGCCCTGAAGATAGGTTTCTTGCTTTCTATGTAAATTAGTTATCATGTGCACTCTTCTGTTCTGGAAAGGGTTTGGGGGGCTTCAGAGGTCTTGGGTGGTCTTGATCCTCCCACACAGTCCATGCCCACTTCTTGACCTCATTCCTGAACTTGCACATACTGTGTTATGCTTTTCTCTAGGAACTAGAACAAGGGTGTTCGTCCCAGAAAAGTGGTACCCTACCTTCACCTGGCCCCCTTCTCCAGCCACATCTTGGTTTTCTCACAGTGTGTTAGTACCAACAATCCCCTGTTGTCTGCACAGCTATCCAGCTCTTGGTGTTTGAGACATACACATTAGCCACTTATCTCCTGGGATTCGAGAGCAGGAAGGCAGTGCCATGGAACCTGGCTCAGTCCCTTGTCCCCATCTCCGTGCTCTTGGCCCAGGAATGATCAGGCAGCAGGTCTGCTTTCTCACACAGACCTTTACCCTCACACCCTGAAGGCTGGCAGGAAGGACTTCCTTGCAGGCCTCTCATTTCACAGGGTGGGTGGGAGGTGGCTGTGTTGCAGTGGTCCTTGTCAGACATTTGGGCAACCATCACTGAATGGTGGCTGCCACCTCCCTGTCACTGCCAACTGCTCTGCCTAAAGCTTTGTCTTGATGGGAGTCCGGCTTTTATGTGGTGTGATGAGTCTGGACCTAAAGGCAGAAATTTCTTCCAGTACAAGAGAGACATGGATCTCCTGGAGGAGGTCCAGTGGAGGGCAACAAAGATAATTTAGGGACTGAAGCATCTCTCTTATGAGGAAAGGCTGAGGGAGCTGGGCCTGTTTGGCCTCAAGTAGAGATGACTGAGAGGGGACCTCATCGATGTCTACAAGCATCTGAAGGGAGGATATCAAGAAGATGGAGCCAGCCTCTTCTCAGTGGTGCCAACTACTAGGACATGAGGCAAAGGGCAGAAACTCGTGCACAGGAAGTTACACCAGAACATGAGGAAGAGTTTTATTGTATATGTCAACATGCACTGGAGCAGACTTCCCAGAGAGGTTGTGCAGTCTGCCTTACTGGGATATTCAAGAGCTGCCTGGATGCAATCCTGTGCAATGTGTTCTAGGATGACCCTGCTCAAGCAGGGAGGTTGGACCAGATGACCCACTGTGGTCCCTTCCAACCTGACCCATTGTGTGATTCTGTGATTCTGAAATGCAGAGCCACAGGAGTGATGAACAGATTTGAACATCTGAGATGAGCAAGGGCCGAAAGCTGGAGTTGTTCAGCCTGGAGAAAGCTTTGGCAGGGGGAGGGAGGGTCTTAATCCCTCTACCTAAATACCTCATGAGTGGAGTGAAGAGGATTGGAGCCAGGCTCTTTTCAGCAATACCACCTGACAGGGATTGACTCAAAGGGCACAAACTGAAATGCAAGAAACTCCATTTAATCATAAGAAAATATGCCTTTAGTGTGCAAGTGGTCGAACACTGGAGCAGATTGTCCTGAACAACCACAGCATCTCCATCAGTGGAGGCATTAAAAACCCTCCCCAAGCACTTGCTGTAGCTATCCCAGCCCTGAGCAGAGGGCTGGACCGGACCCTCTCCAGAGGTGCCTGCCTGCCAGCCTTTCTCATTCTGCAGAACTTCAGTCCTACAAGGCTGGACATGAACAGAGCCAGAGTCCTCTCATAACAGTCATCCTATGCAGTATATAATATGATCCTGTTAAATAGGTTCTATACCTCCAGATCACACCATAGTCACAACATAAAATGCTTATTTTCATATACGTGTGCACATATGTATATAAACTTGGCTTTACTAAGACAAGTCTGGGTTGATGGCCACCTTCCCAGAGATTTAGGAGGCAAAAATTTTGTTATCAGAAGTATTAAAGTATGCATATCAATTGCAAATCTCAAAGTTATGAAACAAATATTAAAAACATACTAACATCTACACCCCAAAACAGAGCAGAACTAACCAATGCCCGCATATGCAAAACAGCTGAGTTGATGTAAGGCTGAGAAAAGTAATTTCCTGAAGTTTGAGCATATACATTCATAACTGAGATTACATTAATCTAAATTTGTTTTATTTTAATTCTTCTGACTTTTTTCCCCTGCCTGAAGTAAGGCGAGATTTAAGTGCCAAAGACCACGTTGCACCATGTGTTTTGAAGAAGTTCCCAGTGGAATCACTTGTTCTCAGAGTGATTGCAATTTGCTGTGGCATGTGCCTGGATTGCAACATTCACTGATGGGCCTTGTAAAACTCCCCTCAGTACTTGTGTTAGCAAAGAGAGATAGAAGGTCATGACTGTTCCGCTGTAGTCTGTGCAAGACCACTGGAAGAGCAGAACGGAGCTGTTTGCTGTGTTTGAAGCCTTCCTGGAAGGAAAGTCTTTCATAGGGAACAAGGTTTCTCCATAATTTGGCTTCTAGTCCTGAAAACGAGAGCAAGTCTTAGGCTCGGCAGTACACTGCAGAGCTTAACAAAGCTCTGGAAAAGCCAGGAATCTGACCCTGCAAGCCTTCAGATGCAGCGTGTATCTGGGTCAAGCCTAAAGGCATAAACTGCAGTTGTTCCAGACATCCTATTTCCTCCCTTACTGTAGTGTGTGATGGAATAGTATAGTAAATAGTGCTGTACATGTACAAAACTGACTTATAAAGTTCACGTTTTTCAAAGCACGAGTCCATCCTTATTTAGGCTTCTGGTAAGCGAGCTAATTTTCAGAGGTGCTGAGTACTCCTAATATCAGTTGAGCTGAATGGACATTCCAGCTGTTAATTTCTTTTGATTTATGATCATCTCCCACAATCTCTACATGTATATTGACCCTGGGATCTATAATGTCCTTTTCCATGAACTTTCAGATAGAAATGTTTTTCTTAGATGCTTTGAAATGCCCCAAATGGAAAATCTCAAATAGGCCTGGAGAAGGCTCTAGAATGACATGACTTTTGAAATAAAAATAATACATTAATTTATACATATTAAGTATTTAAAATTTTCTGTTGTTACTTATGCACACTTGAAATATACTATTCACCTTTATAAACAGAGGATATGCCATATCATTATAAGCTAAACTAATTAGGGATTTCTGTCAGGAGTTGATGATACTAGAGTCTTATTTCCTTAAGAACTACTTTACCTCCAGGCTTGCCAACACTTTTAAACCTTAGTGATGTCACCCAGAAAGAAAATGATGAAGTTTAAAACGCTAGACTAATCTGAACTGCTGTGGTGATGTTATTTTAAATACTCAAATCTTATTTTTACACACATGGTTATTGTCATTTGGGTCCGTATGACTCATTAAGTCTGGAAAGATAAATGGATCCAATATGGGACTGCATCCAATCTGAGGGCAGTCGTTTTCCACATTTCAGAGCCATTTGATGTGCATTCAGACTTCACCTGCATGCTGTCTGTTCATTCATTTCTCGTAGGGCTGCTTCTTGTAATCCAAATGTCTGTGCAAATGTAAGCATCTCTTTTTGCCAAACAAAAATTACTTACTTCTCTGCCAAAGAAATACTACCTTTGTCCATCTTCAGCTATGAAATTTACCTCTTCCTTCTCCCTTACACTAGTGTTAAGTGAAGCAACTTCCAAATTTTGCTCAGAGCAAGAAACAAAACAATGTTTAGAAAGAAGTGTTATTCATTGTTAAGTCAAGGTTGTCATTTAAAAGACAAAAATGTTTCCACATGATTATGTTTCATTTTACATTGTTTCAACAAATATGGGCCAAGTTTATCTATTTTATGCTTCAACGGTTCAAGCATTTACATGCATAACTTTAAATTCATTGTTCTGCACATTTAAGGGTTTAATTTCATTGCAGTAAAAGGCCTATTGATATGTGTAACTTTAGCTGATGTACCAGGATAATTATGATTAATTTTAAATTATCTCGTTTGAAACACTGTTCTCAGTTCATCACTGGCCAAATTATTGTTTGGTTTTATTCAAAAAAAGTAGGTGTGGTATTGAAACGAAAATATTTAATTCAGTCCTTATTTCCCTTATTTTTCTTCCTACTAGACAAGAATCACACCTCTTTATCCTGAAGACTAATCATGGAAACATATAGAAGACTAAAACAACAGATAAGTATGAAAACTGAAAAGCCTAATAAAACTGTATGAAGAACATGAATCATGCTTTATTACACATTAAAATAAGCTCATTTTAATGACAAATGGTATATTCTTAGCATAACTTTAACAGAACATGAACCAGTGATGAAGTTTCTACCCAAGCAAATCATAGTCCTTCCTCACTGTGTGACCAGAAATACTCCCTGATTTGACTAAAATGTTAGATCCATGTCCTTCAATTCAAATCATGGGATCATCTCATCACACATGCCTGGGCACAGTTTCATTCTGTGGCAGGAAAAATTTTCAGTTTGGTCACAT